GCCAGAAGGCAAGATTCTGCCCTGTTTTCTCAGCTTATCAACGCTATTCACGAGGAATACCGCCGAAGTCAATGTCAAAAGTCTGGGACAGTGACCAAACCAGACCAACTGCTTCCTCTGCCTGTAACACTATAAGAAAATACGATATACAACAATCTTCAGAAAGCCGCATCTCCTGAACGGAGTTACTATGTTTACTTTCATGTATAACTGTCATCTTATAAGATTCCTCTATGGATATTTGTCAGTAGAGAAGATATGATATCAGTGTGGTAAAACTGGTCCATTCTCTTATATCTCCGCATGACCAGAGTATGTGCAATAGTGGAGTTTCCTGTCTTCAGCTTATATTTTTACAGTTTATAAATTGCTTAATTGTGAAAGCGGTCATTGGCTGTTTGTAAATTAATGGGGCATTCTCGATTGTGACCGTAGATGTTAGAGAAAAAATCATTTGAAGGTGATTTAGTTTAGAGCCAGGCGGAAATTAAATCCACTCACCTACTCTCTTCTAACAATAAATTTTACCTGCCACTTTTATTTTCTGATGCTGCTAAAGCCCGAAGTGGTGGAAAGCGGACTCGGGAAAGAAATAATTTAGTTCCATCCAGCTCACACGCTTGTAACTTATCAAAGCTTGCCGGATATTTTAGAGTTTTCCTTTCTCCACAATATTCTGACCCCTGTCGTGTAGGTCAGGGTTTATATTATTATGCAGAAGAGTGCACTAGTAGAACAATGTCGAATGTTCAACTGGTTACTGTATAAACCACAGGCGTGAGTTAAGGTATTAAACGTGGTCCTACCTTCAGTAAAAGCTGATTGGCCGTAGCTTTACTTGACTGATCTAGGCAGCCCCGATGATGTCCCAGATGTTACGTCTCCTCGCGTGACGATCCATGGCAGCAGATCTAAACAATTCAGTCCATTATGTTCGCCAATGCCGGAGGCCGAATACCGAAGGTCCAAGAACCACTTCCATGTTCTGACGGACTGAGTCGAACCAGGTTTTGAGCTGACCCCCTTTTCGATGTTTCCAATTGGATACTGATTTCAGGTCGAGGGCAGTTACACTGAGTTCGTGAGGCTGACGACGAAGAACGTGGTTAGACCCCCTCAGTCGTCTATCCCGGATGCCCTGGGATATACTTGCAATGTTGTCGCGGCGAGTGAGGACTGTCTCATTTAGGAAGAAGTCGGCGCATTTAACTCGGAGGATGGTCCTCAAATAGCTCCAATTTTCTTACATCATTCACGCGCATAGCCCAGTATTCGCAGCCGTATCGAAGGACAGACTGAAACGCAAATCTTCG